TGAACCCTGTAATCCTGGAGGGCCGTTATCTGGAGAAGGCATTCAGCAGTTGTTCCAATTGGGGAATTATTATTCAATATTCAGAAATATTTCTGCTTTATGTATAGGGTTTCTTACTGTCTTTTTAGGTCTAATCAACTTAAAAACAATCCATGACAGAGAAAGTGCAAACTTCTTCGCATTTGACTGGAAGGTAAACTGAGGCCCAAGAGAAACTTGTGAAATAAATTTGTGGCAGAAATGGAAGTTGAACTTGCTGCCTTTGGTTTGTCTGGTCCTATTGTGCAAACCTTTATGGACACAGAATGAGAGGGGCTTTCGTAACCACCTTAGGGTTTTCAGGGTAGAAAGTCATGTGTAGTCCTGACTATGGAAAGCACTGAAGCATATGCTGAAATTTCCCTAAGTCCACAGGGCTTGAATATGTCTCTGGAAAACTTTCCTGAAAAAGCATAGACCTTGGCATGTGCTTAAGTGCTTGTTATCTTACAAGATCTATAAGCACGAGTCTGCTCATCGATAGGGCATTAAAATTGTGGTGAGTTCCTGAGAGAGTGTATTTGAGATTGCGCAGCTAGAGGGCAGAAAAATTCAAGAAGAACCACAAATGTCCATACAAAATACCAAGGCTGAGTTTGATCTGAAAGCCCAGATGGAAACTGAGGGCTCCTCGGGCTTCTTCAGTGAAAGTTAAGGAGGAGTTAGTTATTTGCAAATGGGAGGGTGGGGGCTAAGAGAGGAAAATGAAGGAAGAGAAAGAGGAAGTTAACTCTTCTTCCTGCCTCTAGTTTGGGGGAAATTCTGGGTTGTTCTAGTTGTACCCTATAGATGAAATTCAGTATTCTCAAAAGACAAAGAATTTATTGTGGGATTGCATGCCCATGTGTCTTCTGTACTTGAAACCTGATGTCCCTTGAAAGGCATGTGTGCTCATGATGAAACTAGGTGCTTTGTTCCTTAAGCAACTGATATGATAAGGCTTTTTAGCCTGTTTCTCTGCACAAATAGAAAAAATACCATTTCTTCTGGAGGTTCTAAATGGGTGCTTGTTTGGTTCCAACTGAAAGGTGTAGCAGTAGCGAGCACCAGAGACTCAAGAGTGTTTCTACCTTGAATAGTAAAGAGCTTGTGTTGTTCCTTGCTTGTAATCATATTTGGAAGATTAAAATTTTTCCAATGGAATATTTGGGGGCTTTTTGATTTGAAGGGGAAAGCCACAATATGAGATTTAATTCCCCCCCCGAAGAGTCCAGTGTTGCTGTGGATGAGCTGGAGAGTCTTGGGAAAGTTTCTGCCCTTCCCATTACTAAGTGTATAAAAAGGCAGTGCCCACCAAGTGATTCTGCTGTGTTTCCAGATCCAGTTAATTCCTGTCATCAGCTACTTAATTTATTTTTTTTTTTTAAAGTTCCCTTTTCTAAGGCTTAATTTCAGGTACTGAAAACAGGAGAGGGTGAAGATACCATTCCCTTTTTCAGGTTCATCTTTTGAAGGAAGACATTTTGTAGGTACTCTCATGAAACAGAGTACTGGACCCTTTCCCCGACCTTTCTCACTCCCCAAAAAGGTCCTTCTGAGAGGCTGGGACAAAGTGCATATTAGAACATAGTGTGAAGCGAGGACAGGAGATGGGGAGTTTTTGTTCGTGTGCTTAGTTTCTCTGTGTGTCTGTAAGTGCAGATCACTGGACTGGAACAAAGCTCTCCTGATGGGAAACTGTTCTCAGTAGTAGCTCTTTGGTGCTCTGAACCACTGGAGAGGATGTTCTCCTTTAGGTGCCTGTCTCTAGTTCTCTCCAAAGCAGAAAATAAAGTGTAGACAAAAAGTTGCTTTATTTAAAAAAAAAAATCTGGTGATGATGAAACTATAGTCTATACATCTGCAGATTGAGACTTAAGACTGTTGTATATACTGGGCTGACGATTTCTCTAAGCACTTACCTTGTTTTTTTACACATAACCTAAAATTTTGTACTGAAAACTTAATACTAACTAACTTACTGTGTTACAGGAACATGTCTGTCTTTTCAGAATAACAACAAAGTCGGAAATGTGGGCTTTGGAGGAGGAAGAAGGGAGGATGTCTTTAGTTTGGGATAGCTGCCTAATGGGAGGGAAGGTGACAAAATGAAAATAAAATCTCCCTTATTTTATGGAGACATTTAATCTTCTAAATTCACAAGTGAGTTGCAGGTAAATGTTGCAGGTCAGGCCCATATCACTAATGCTTTTTTCCCCATTCTGGGCAGGATGATTTTGTATTTTGTTGTTAGCAGTACAGGTAGAAAAGACTACAGCTGTTTCTTCCCATCTAACTCTACAAAGGGAGAAATCTTTATTCCTCACCTTCCATCTCTGTGGAGGTACTAAAGTAAGAGAGAATGGTTGTATGTACATTTGTGACTTCATCACCCTAGTATTGGAGTCCCTCAGTCATTGACGTGTCTTAATCGGAGTGGTTGGAGCGGTATTGTCCCCCTTTTGCATATGGGGGATGGAAGCACAGTATGCTAGGTGACTTGTTCCCCAGCCACAGTTAGGCTTCCCAGAGCTGCTGGGAAACAAGTTCTGACACCACCCCTGCCCTGGTCCCGTTTTGATGACTTTGCCATTGCTTTTGCTGTTAAGTGTTTGCAGCTCTCTGTATATGAGTAGAGGTTAAGCTAGGAGTCATAGAATGAAATTGACGGAAAAGCAGCTAAATATGGGCACGGGAGGGAGAGAAGAAAATTTCCCCCCTGTGAATTGTGTCCTTTTTTGTGAGGAGAGAGTTTTCTGAAAGCTTTACTCAAAAGTCTACATCAGCTGAGAAGCCTTTTGCTGTATGAGAAAGAATATTAGGTAACATACTGTGAAGAATAATACCACATTTGAGGGACCCTTCAGGGGTGCACAAGATGGACTCTGATAGGTTTCTTTCATCTTTAGGTTTGAAGATGGGGTGCTTCACACTGTCATTTCAAAATGCGAACCTGCATGTGGTTATACAGCACTGTGCTAAAATAAAGAAGTTAGAATTGCTGTGATAATGGTGATTCTTCTGACTTTAGGTGCGCCTTTGCATAACCCCTTAATTTTATTTTTTTTAAAATTTACGGTATGAGACCATGAGTGATAGTGTATCTCATTTGTACTGCTGTTTAGATAAGTTTGTCTGTGGTATCTGTAGAGACTGATGGCAGGTGCCAGGGGAATCAGTGGAATTTCCCCTTTTTAAATTGTTAAAGTTTAGATCCAGATAGTACAGTCATTGGCTGGGAAGCTTTTTCTCCTCTGCTTTTGTGATTTGAATGGTTACTTCCTAAATATATTGATGATTTGCTGGTTACCCTGGGATATAGATCTGGGATAGCCATTTCCAGCTTGTTTCTAGAAATACCTGAAATCTCACTGTCTTACTGTTTAGTTTTGATTTGTTGAAATTCCTTTAGCCTAAGTCCTTGGTGAACTGAAGAACTAAAATATTTCTTTGAGTTGTAATGTGTCCATTAGGCCTTTCAGGCTGGTTCAAAGCAGTCAACGTTTAATTTGGATCATATCTCCTTTTAAAGCTGTTTGCCTTGTGTGGCAAGCTATTTCTTACCATGTGGGTCATACTAGTCATTAGAGATTGATGTCTCCTTGTGCTAGGTATGCATTAACACTGTGAGTTCCAGCCAGCAGGCTATGAAATCTGCCTTTAGCCTTTGGAAGAAAGAAGACAGTGATTTTTAGGGATGTTTAGGTTGGCTTTTGGGCTTCCAAACTCTTGCCTGCTTGGGTGCTCTCTGAGGAATCAAGACTGTCCTATAAACTTAAAAATCTGAAGGTCAGGTGGATTAGAAGACCTCTCCTGGTGAACATAGACGTTTCTTCTTTGAAATGCTCACTCTGAGATTTTTGGGAAGTTTTAATTGTTCTGTGAACCTAGACCTTAATTCTGTTTCAGACAGAATTTCTGTTAATTCTGTCCTGAAGGATTGTGCATGTGCGTTGATTGATCAGTAGCAAGTGAAATCAATGCAGTTTTGACTCTTCTCTCTATTTTATTAGCCTTAGAGAAGCTTTCATGATTGGATTAGGTTTAAATTTTATTGCCTGTTATTGTGCTCATGTGGATCTTGTCTATAATTAAATGCTCAATTCCTTTTTGTGATGTAGAAAAGGCATTGAAACTTTATAGTAGAGTGGAATAAGATAAAGCAAGAGACACTAATTGAACTCTTGCACGTACATAAAGAATGTACAGGTGATGATATTGTTATTTTTGTACCTAGAGAGAGCCGGTTTGAAACCTTTGTGGTCAGTGCTCTTTTTTTGTGTGCACCCAGGCTAATGTGAACAGATTGTATGGGCAGATTTGGAAGGCAGGTGTTCACATCACAAAACCACTGCTGTAGTTGCCATGGTGTGCTGTACCATTCTCAAGTGAAAATGTCAAAAGTAAATGGACACAAACTAACTTTTACCTGTATTAGTGGTTCTTTGAGGTCATTTTCTGGCATGTTAATGGTTTAGTATGGGGAAAGTTGCTTACTGATGACAGAAAATTATGTTACCTTCTTTCTCATAGAAACAAATCTATACTTTCGCAATATCTGGCATCAAATTTTCAGTCGCCCCAGTTTGCTTTCCAGTTTTGAATGTTTGAAACCCCTTGGTTACAGGTCTAGGAACCACCTTTTCACAACTGCACTTCCTTGCCGTAGCATTTTGCTTTTTCGTATGTTCAGTATCTTTATTGTCTTGATCTCTCTTCGGATTAAAATTATGGCATGTATTGGTTAAATGCGCATTTTCCCCTATTAGTCCACAGGAAGTAGGAATCTAGTTATCATTTTAGCTTGCCTGTTAATACCTCAATTCAAGTGATACGGTTGGCTTCACTTCTCAGGCCTGGATATCACAAGGTCTATCTCCCAAGTGAAAATACATCCCCCAAAGGGGGATTTGTGGGTAGAGAGGAGGTAAGCTTTTTCTTGTACAGCTCTGACTGCTTGTTCAGATGGCCATCACCTGCACACAGGCATACACAGACTTACATATCAGATGCAAAATAGATGAAACTTCTGACTTAAGAACACATTCCTGAGTCACTTAAGCTTGTTCTTTATATAGTGTATAATTTGTTTTGGAGTTAGAAGTGTGTCTTCCCATTACCCACTCTGATAATGGTGTTCTAGAACAGCTGCATTTGGGGTTTTGCCTTGCTTTATGAAGCTTCAAAAAGAAATATACTGATGATAAGTGATTTTCAACATGTGTAGTGGAAAAGGGGAGTTGGCTATTTCAAGAGATTAAAGAAATTCTCTTCCTTTTTTCCCTTTATCACAGATGCCCGAGACGTAGAGCAATTGAGTAAGAATAACATTACGCACATTCTTTCAATCCATGACAGTGCCCGCCCTATGCTCGAGGTAAGAGGTGTGGGGGACTCCATGGTAAATTCTTACTTTGCAGTTGACTGTTACAGTCCTCTTGGGGTTAATTTCTTGTTCTGTACAATTGGTGTTTTGAGACTTGATTTTTCTTGTGGAAATGTTTGACAGCTGTAGTTTTGGGATCCAGTCACAGATTTTGTTGCTGTTGCCGTCATAACAGCAAGAAATCTAACTGAAAAAGGAAGAGACAATTACAGTGTCAATCTATAACACAATAATGGCATTGTGTTATTAGTTTAATAGTAAAGGTAAGTTTCCTTCTGTGTGGAGTTCAAGCATCACATAAACAACAAAGTTCCTTCTCCCCCTTCCCCAATACCAACCCTCCTTTGTACTTGGGCACCTTTCTTGAATCTTTAGCAGATCGTTGTGTAAGAGGTTTGCAGTCCTTTTCGATGTAAAATAGCCTTATTTAGGCTTGGGGTGTGGGAGGAACCAGTGCTCCCTCATATAATACGTCTAATATAGCAGAGCATCTGTAAGTCTCCAACGCTTTAACATGAAGTAGCATTCCCCACTTTACTGAAGGGTAGCAAACCTGAAGAGCTAACATGACTTGACGTGCTCTGTCATCTTGAGCAGTGAAAGAGCTGGAACTAGGCAGCAGGTCTCCTGTGTGGGAATGTTGTGCTTTCTTCTTTACACCAGCTTATGTTGGAAGGAGGGGAGTTTGGCTGGGCTTTGCTACACCTTAAAATCCACCTATTTGATTTATGTTGGAAACTGTTGCCACCTTAAATTTGTTTGTTCCTTCCCTGCATTCCACTTTTCATGAAATATGTTAAAATAATGGATAAGGAAGTTGCTGGTGTTACCCCTCAAATGCTGCTGGGAATCTCTGCTTTTCATTCTCTTCATGTAAAAAGTCTCTAGTGAATTCAGTCCTTAAATTACAGAATTTCCACCTCTCCCAAGCAAGTTAATAGGTAAGCTGAACAAAAGGTGTCCCTAGTATGTCACGATTAAAACCAAAATCAAGTTAATGGTGAATTCAAAGTTGACCTTGAACTTGGAAGTGTGCTGAAGCAGATTTTTAGCTGTTGACTTTTTATTACATTGACCATTTGACTTCTGTTGTGCCTGATGCTTGTTAAGTGTGAAACATAATGAATTTCAAGAGTGGTCTTAGTTGAAGAGGTAAACAGTTGTACTGAGTAAGAGAGATGCAATGTTTCCTTTAGGGTGCAGTTCTCTAAAATGAATAGAAGCTTGCTTTGTTTTATTATCATGATTAGAAAAGTAGGAAGACTAATTATGGCACAGATCAGCTGCAGTCTCACACCAGTGTTTCTTGCGGTGGCAGTGGTAGTTTTGGCAGCCCACACGCCGCCTCCTTGCTTGTGGTAGTGCATCTGTGAGGCTGCATGGTAAATAGATCTGGGAGCTTTTGTGGGTTAAATATAACCAAGTCACCATTTGTTCATCTAGCTACCCCCACAAAACACATGAAGAATTATATTTACCCTGATCTGTTCCTGATCTGGTTCACAACAGTGTTTCAAAAGTTGCAGTGTCAACAAAGTAGTGTCTGATTGAGCATGGACTTGCTTCATTCACGCCTTCTTCTAAAAGAAATGTTTCTCCAATGTGCCTTCTATTTTCTCAGTGTGCAATATACTCCTTTATCTGCCTGTGGTCTGGAAAATAACTGTTAAAACTTCTCCCCAGTTCTTAAAATAGTGGAAGGATTGAAAGTTCCATTTGTTTGGGAGCTGAGCTGATTATTAATTACCTTATCTTTCATGGTCTTACTGTGGTGCTTGTTTGCAACTAAATGCTTCTGTTTAGGAGCAAGGGCCTAGAAAACATCTATTAGGTTGTGTTACTTCCTTTGTTATTTACATCTTTGCCAGGTTGTAGGTAGGTTTGTTTACAGCTTGTGTATCTACATTGTGCTTGGGGCTTGTTCTCAAGTCCACTGAAGTCATATCTGAAGTCAAATGGAAATGCTTTCCCTATGTATCTCCCTCTTTTCCTTTACCCCCAGATTTCACTTGGGGAAAGTGAATGCCTACATTTGTGTTCAGAAATTCATCTGATGTTCTTTGGACCTTTAAACATGGAATCGCAGTGATGTGAGAATCTTTTTTTTTTTTTTTCCCCCTGAGATTCTCTGTTTTATGCATGCGTGTTTATGTGAATGCTGATCATCTGTGAAGAGCTGCATTTTATTGGACTGCAGTAGTTGCATTTGTCTTTTGCTAACAATATCTCAAGTATTTCATAGTCAACGTATAGGAAATGATGCAAAAATTTCATTAAACAAAGCTTTCTGTGCAAGCTGTGGAATGTAAGTGGTTTTTGGACATTGAAAACTCAGTAGTGTTGTAGTAACATGTTATCAAAAAGAATTTGGTCTTTTTTGGCTGTCTGTGAAACAAACGGATGTAGATATATACCTTAGCACTCTCAAAGAAGTCGCGAATTACCCACATCTTGCTTGTCAGATTTTGAAGTTTCAGTAATGACTGTTTTGATGCAATAATACTTCTGAAACAGTACTTAAAGCTGATAATGAGGGGTAGAGAATGAAAATGACCACTCTGGTTTCATTGTCCATGCTGAGGAATGCAGTACTCAAGAAATAAAAGCAAACGTCAGTGTGTGAAGTGAACACTAACTTGCTACAGATTGTAAAATTAGTTTCCATTGCAGTAACCTATGGTGTTGCCCCTCTCTGCAATGTTACAGACTGTTTTTACTTGGTCGTTTAAAATACTCACAGTACCTTTTAAAAAGTGTGCTTTCCTCTTTGCTTTGTATACTGCAGTATTTGGATATATGTTCCTTGTAAGTTGGTAAGCTATTAGAAAATGATTGAAGAGTTTCACAAGAAAGTATTATATTGGTTTAGGTTATATAGTATGTGCCTGTTGAGAAATAACTTAAAAAGAAGTTTTCTTATTGAAATTAGGTTTTGGACATTATCTCAGTGATCATTTACAAGCCCTCATGGATGTCTGATTTATGGGCGGCTCATAATCAAAGTTTGGCCTTAGGAAGTTACTGTGTACTTTCAAGCTGGAATAACAGGAAAAAGTAGGTTTAAAAATCAGTTGGATTCTAAGACTCTTTATAACTTTAGACATTGGCAGCCTGCATTAAATAAAAGACACAGAATTGTTTTGTAGGGCTTTGAGTGGTTTAGACTGAAATTTGCCAAAATCTGGCCTGAACCGTCTTGCAGTATTGCCCCTTAGTTCTTTTTTTATAAACTGTTTCAAGGAAATTTGTCCTCTAATAAAACCAATTCTGAAATTAATTTATATTTAGAGAGCACCCTAAGGCTATTGTTCCAATAAAGTACACCATTGTTATACAGGTTCTTAACCACGTAGGAAAGCATTTTGTAGTTTAAAGATGGAGGTTTATAACTCCATCACAAAAAACTATAGGTAACTGCTGGTGTGTCCAAGAGAAAGGACTGAATGCCTTATGTATGGATCAAGGTTTGTTATTTCAGATGCACAGAAGTCACTCCATGAGTGAGAGCGGTGTCCAATAGCATCACGTGTGTTCCACAGAGGCAGTAGCCTTGGTGAATCAAGTTGGCACCTCCAGAACACTTTAGACGCCTGCCTATGGAACACTCACAGATGTTTTATAAATCCACACAAAAGCCGTATACAGAGGACAATAATCAGTTTTTTTGCCACCTGCTTTCTAATCTATTTCTCAGCTAGTTCAGGCTTTAAAATCTCTATTCAGAGTGTGAGACACTCTGAAAGGCAGATGGGGAAACTTATCTCAGAGTGTGCTTTAAATAATAGTGTTTCTGGCAGTGACCTGTTGGACTTATCCAACAGGTTGTCATCTATCTGGACTTCTGTAAGGCCTTTGACACAGTCCCCTACAACATCCTTCTCTCTAAATTGGAAAGAGATGGATTTGGTGGATAGACTGTTCAGTGGATGAGGAATTGGTTGAATGGTCGCATCCAGAGGGTACCAGTCAATGGCTCAATGCCAGTTGGAGATTGGTGACTCCCTCAGGAGTCTTTACTGGGACCAGTGCTATTTAATATCTTCATCAGTGATGTGGACAGTGGGATCGAGTGCACCCTCAGCAAGTTTGCAGACAACACCAAGCTGAGTGGTGTGGTTGACATGCTTGAGGGATGGGATGCCATCCAGAGGGACCTGGACAAGCTCAGTACAGGCTCGTGGATGAAGGGATTAAGAGCAGCCCTGCTGAGAAGGACTTGGGGGTACTGGTGGATGAAAGGCTGGATGTGAGCCAGCGATGTGTGTCTGTAGCCCAGAGAGCCAATTGCATCCTGGGCTGCATCAAAAGAAGTGTGGCCAGCAGGTCAAGGGAGGGGATTCTGCCTTTCTACTCTGCTCTGGTGAGACCCTACCTGCAGTGCTGTGTCCAGCTCTGGAGTCCTCAGCCCAGGAAAGACATGGACCTGCTCGAGCAGGTCCAGAGGAGGGCCACCAAAAATAATGAGAGGGATGGAGCACCTCCCCTATGAGGAAAGGAGGAGAGAGTTGGGGTTCTTCAGCCTGGAGGAGAGAAGGCTCCGGGGAGACCTTATAGCAGCCTTCCAGTACTTAAAGGGGGCCTATAAGAAAGATGAGGACAGACTTTTTAGCAGGGCCTGTTGCGACAGGACAAGGGGTAATGTTTTTAAACTAAAAGAGGGCAGATTTAGAGTAGATATAAGGAAGAAATTTTTTACGATGAGGGTGGTGAAACACTGGCACAGGCTGCCCAGAGAGGTGATAGATGCCTCATCCCTGGAAACATTCAAGGTCAGGTTGAACAGGGCTCTCAGCAACCTAATGTCATTGAAAATGTCCCTGCTCACTGCAGGGGTGTTGGACTAGATGACCTTTAATGGTCAATTCCAACCCAAACTATTCTGTGATCTCTTGGTATAACTCTTTCTTTTTAAAACTAGGACAAATGGCTGTTGGGATTGGAGGCTAAAAGGCCAAAGGTCTGACAATTGTGACATCCCTATATCCTAACGA